GAAGTAAAGGATGCTGTGGTCCTGCTAGGCTGGCTGCAAGGGCTGTGGCAATCCCATCTGCTTCTATGGCTTATCTACTGAGTCACATCTCCCCCTGGATGCTCCGAGAATGCAAAGCAGCCAAGAACTGTCAACAATCTTCTGGGAAAGGAAATTTACAAGTGCCTTCTAGAGAATTCCATCCTTCTGCTGGCCCGTGATTTGAAAGGCTTGGCTCACCTTGGAAAGTGTGGATAATGAAATTCAGATTAAGTCCGTCTGATTCATGAGATCCAGCAGGGAGTCTTGGTGTGCCATGGGGCCACCCATGTTTCTTTCTGGTTGGGGACATTCCTACAGGACACCCACAGAGGATAATCCAAAGTGAGAAGGCATGGAGGGAGGAGATTTGGAGGTGTTTAAGAACTGAACAGCAATGGGGGCATAGAGGAAAGAGGGGCTTACGGAAGCAGATGCTTCTGGTGGGTTTTCTGCATGCCTAAAGGTCAGATACATAACCAAATTAGGAAGCGTCATGGAAGAAGGCCATGATAAGAGGTTGGAAAGGGGGCTAAAGTAGTAGCCAGGCCATGCAGGCAGGCTGTATGGTGCTCTGCCAGGCTGAGTCTGTAGCATTGAGGTAGCAATAGTAGCTCATCTTTGCAAAAGAGCTTAGTAGAGAAGCAAAACCGTTCATACACCAGCTTAGGGATCAAGGGGGAGATTTTAGGGGTAAGAGTATAAAGAAGCTGGATATGAGCTCAGGCGGAGTGCTGTGCTACCAAGAGAAGGGGCAGACCTGCTTCCAGCGACTGTTTTGTCATCTTCCAGGAGGGCAGAAGAATAGACAATGAGACTAACTAGGGAGAAGGTGGCAGAGATGTGGTGGGAGGGATCTGAACAGGATGGGGTGCTACCCAGGGAGAATCCGAGACTCCAGTGGAAGATGGTCAAGGCCAAGCATTGGGAGCTTTGGTGAGAGCAGGATGAAGCTGCGAATGTGTCAATAGAAAATGGTGAGGACCACCACCCACCTGTTCCAGGTACAAACCCTGCTAATCACAGCTGTCCGCGTGTCTATACTTGATGTTTCCCATATATATACAGTCAGGCTACTCTGCTTGGGGTTCTGTTTGAAAGGAAAAAGCAAAAGCTAATTCCAAAAACACTCAACCTTCAGGTCACGGCTAGCTTTTGCACAAGGCTCAGTCTACCTAAGATTCTACGCATGGCTCAATTCTACACATGGCAAAGAGCTGATGGGGAAGCCTTGCTTATAGTTCCAGGTGACCCCAGGGAATGGATACAGCACTGGCCTGGAAGGAAGACAGAAGCCCACAGGCTAGAGTATTTATCATCTCAGTTTTTCTTACACGGCTCAGTAATGGCCACCTGTTACTTACGTTTCCACCTAAGAACCTTTCCTACCTCCTTACACCCCAGGACCTTCCCTAACCCCTGCCTTTACTGCTTCTGGCCCTCAGCCCCTCCGCACAGCAAGCTACTCCATCTTCTGACCCCTGCACAAGACCGAATTTAGTGGCTGTACCATTTAGCCTCTTTGCAGTCACTTTTCCTTGAACTGATTCCTGGCCCTCCCGTCTCCCTTAATCCTGTCTCCATAGCTACAATGAGCATCTCCCATTATCTCTCATTCTCGTGCTTTCCTCCCACCCACCCTGCACCAGAACCCACCTGCTTAGTGTCCATTCACCTCCAGGCAATGGGAAGCTCCCCACCAAGAGCTGGGGACTGGAGCCAGGAGTTTCTAAAGCTACTTCATGAGCCCTCTGTCACCCCCAACTGCTCATAAAACTTCCCCTGCCCTTCCAACAGAGACCCTTAGCCCTAATTAGCACTTACACCCACATATGTGTGCACATGTGCACGCACACACTTGCCGCAATCTGTCCGCAAGCCTCTGAGACTGCTTAGAACTTATCAGGCAACATGAAACAGCTGGCTCCTGGTCCCTTCTGTCATTGCTCCTGTAAACCCAGGGTCTTGCCTCTCTCCGTCTTGTCAAGTGCCAGAGCTCCCACCTGAAGCTCTCGGGTCTGTCCCTGAGCCAAGACTGCTTCTGATCAGAGGCAGCTACCCCGGCATGGAAAAGCAAACCTGAGCCTTCCTTCCACCAGACGTCTCAACGCTGCAGCCAGGGCTCATTCGCACACATGATTTATGAACTAATTTAGCATGTAAGGAAACATCTGCATTTTGCTTTTATCATCTTGCCAGCAGACAGGCTGAAGACAAGATGCATACTGTAGACTTGTTTAATGGGGCCTTAAACCTTCCCTCTCGCTAGCCTGAGCTTACACAAGGCTCTGGTTTCAGGACTTGTCTGATCTGACCTAACACAAACAAACACAGAAATAAAGCTCTCCTCAACACGTCCGTACCACAGGGACAGTTGGAATGGCCGTAAAATCCATGCCGGTCAAGTCCCCCCAAGAGCATTCCAGTGGCCAGAACTGTCTTGGAATTTGGGGAATAAAAAGGTGACTGGTTATTTAATACTATGCATCCAGACTGGGCCCCTTTTATTATATACAGTTTAAAAATGTTCATTTAGAGTCACATGAACTTAGATTTGTTTGGGAAAAACATCAAAACTGACTAATGTTGCAATCCGAGTTGTACCCTCCCCCCACACATATACACAAAAAGATACATTCAAGTCCAAATTCCTAAAACTGTGACTGTGACCTTCTTTTGACCTTGTCACTGGAAATCTGGTCCTTGCAGATATAATCAAGTTAATATGTGGTCACACTGGATGGGTGGACTTCAGCTCAGTATGAGAAGAGGAAATTGGGTTCAAAGGCACACAGACATAGGAAGAAGGCCGTGTGAAGACAAAGGCAGGCAGCAGGGGACCAGGCATGAGCCAAGGAGCACCAGGGATGGCCAGAAGCCACCAAAGCTAGGACAGAGGATGTGGCGTGCTTTGCTCTGAGCCTTCAGACAGGACTGGCCCTGCAGGTGCCTTTATTTTGACCTCTGGTCCCCAGAACTCTCAAAGAATATATGTTCATGGCTTTAGGGATGTATATAACAATTTCTTACAGAATGGCAAGAAAGTAAGGTAGGTATATAAAAGCCATGTCCCCTCCCATATGGGAAGGGAAGGAACCCAAAGCCACACCTGCTATGGTTTGAATCTGTAGTATATCTTCCTGTGTGTGAAAGGCCCAGCCCCCAGCTTGGAGCTGCAGGAAGGCAGCACAGACTTTAAGGGATGGGGTAAAGTGGGCATTTTCAGGTCATTGGTGATGAGCCCTTGAAAGACACTGTGGGATCTTGGTCTCTTCTCTCCTTTGCTTCCTGGCTGCTGTGAGATGAGCACCTTTACTCCACTTTGTACATCTTCAACATAATGCGCTCCTGCCTTATCATAAGCCAAAAGGCAACGGTGCCTATTGATGATACTGAAACTTCAAAAACTGAGCCCGAATCAACCCTTTTCTCCTTGTAAGCTGATTTGTCTCAGGTATTTGTTATAGTGATGTAAAGTGAATGAATAAGCTCCCGACAACCACAGGTCTCTGCCGCTTCCTGCACACACTGAAGGCTGAAAATGGAGATCCTCCAGTGCCATCCTGTGTGTGTGTGTGTGTGCGTGTGTGTATGTGTGCTTGCTGTGATTATCAGGTGCTTGCTGTTGGTAGCCTAACACTTTGACCGAGTAAAATCTTTCGTGCTTTGTGTGTGTGAATGTGCCAAGGAGTTACTCCCACTGTGGCTGCCATTTGGTCTTCACAGCGCCTTGAGACAGCTGTGCCTGAAACAGTTGCTCTTTGTTGAGCTTGAGACTTAACAGTCCCCTAGAGAACACATCTAGACTAAGTCTGTGCCTGCACCTAGCTTGGAACACTAGCTAGACACCCAGGGTGCGGTGGGCCAGCCCTTTGCACATCTCTCTGGCTGTCTTTGTTTCTCATCATCCTGGAATGTGTCACGGGATGGAAGCATCAGGTAACCTGCTAAATCCCTTGCCTAACGACAATGCATTCAAGGGGCCTCTAGACAGTTCTCCTGAAGTGCTCTGGAGGGCGGGAAGAAGCCAGTCTACCCACAGACGAGTCTAATAGGAACCTATTACAGAGGGCCTCTCCTCTGTCTCCTGCATCTCCCTCCTCCTGAGAGCTTGGTAAAGTTGCTAAGCTGCACTTTATTGAAGATGGTTATTTCCCCCAGAGGACTTTTACTCAGAACCACACTCATGATTTCACCTCCCGGGGCCCAAAACATTTTCCTAGAGACCTCATTCCTGCATTCACAGCCATAAACCAAAGGCTTCTCCAAGCCTCCAGATTTTAAGATTTGGGTTGGCAGGCCCTTCGTAAGTGCTCTGATGTTTCAGTCTTTGCCTTCATCTCTTGTTATTCTTGCTAGCTCAAGGGCCTGTTTATGAGGTCCATGAAGAAGACTGAGGTCAGCCTTGCTCATAGTCATGTCCCCAGCCGCCCCCCCACACACACACATAGTGCTGGCCCCAGTAAAGGTCCCTGCTAACTCCTGCTCTAAGGAGAGTGCCCAGCCTCTCAGGGTCAACTCGACCCTGGCCTTCGCAGTGCTGGGCAAGCTGGCCATCCTTCCTCTGAGCTCATAGCAGGAAGAGGTCTCAAGATGACAAATGTTGATGCAGACAAGCTGGAGTCAACTTCTCGCCCCAAGGTCTGTTTTGCAATCTATAAAGGGCAGAGGAGATCGCTCGCAAACATCCGTTTGGAGTCAAGAATTTGAACTTGCTATCCTGGCTCCTACAGTGATGTGGCTCCTTTCCCAGCTAAATGGCAAATCTGCGGCCCAAGTTATTTCTGCTGAGTTGCATGCCCATATGTAACCTCTCACAACGAGCTGGCTCCCCGAGAAGGCTTCAGGAAGCTGAGGTCTGCGCAGGCCAGTGGCATCATTCGAGAACATTGAGATCATTGTTTGAACCTTCGGGGCAGGCTCTAGGCCTGAGAATACCTGTCCCCCCTCTATTCAGGCCTCCTGAGCCACCTGCAGCTTACCGCTAAGAGGATGGGGAACGGTGAACTGCTTCTTGTGGGCACGGACAGGAAGTAGGCTCTGCTTCTGCCCCAGGTTTTCCTTTTGTTGGGCTTTCCTTTGCTGTACCATGTGCTTAAGTTTTTGCAGCCGTTCTTGCGAGCGAGAAATGAACTGAGGTCTACGGACTTCCAGCGCTTCCTAATTGGGACAAAGGACAGATTTTGTTTTTTCAGAGAAGGGAAACCAGGAAACGACACATCCATCCCATTTACTCAGCAGAAGCCAATCAAGACCACAACGCTCCACGGGCAAAAGCCACAGTGTCAATCCATGTCATCCTCCCCCCTCCACCATGCCCATGTGTAAAGATGGTATGGGCACATTGATGACAAGCTGCTGGAGGTCAGTTCCAGCCAGCAGCACAGACCCCACTGCAGCAGGACCAAGCAATGACTAACATTGAAGTCATTGACTACCGATAGCCAACATCTACCCACTTGTGAAGTCACGCTGCCAAACCACTCACTGCCGAGGAACCCAAATCTGAGGGTTCTGCAATTTGACATTCTAAGAGAGATGGGTGGGATTGGAATGTAGGTACTAGAAAGTAAGTTGCATACTCATTTCTGCTGGGAGCAGGGGGGAGTCTTAAGGTAAGGAGCACATGCATGGTCCTCCTGGCATGGAAAATGGCTTTTCAGAAGTCCTATCTGTGGCTTGCGGGAACTGCTTCTCCTGGGTAGAAAAAGGTAGAAGTCTTTGCTAGACAGAGGGATTCTGTGAGCATCCCAGGAGAGATCAGAATCCCCTCCATCTCCACAGCAGTCTCTCCCTCTGTGCTCTTTGCACAAAGCACCATTGCAGAGCTGCCATGGCAGGTGCTGGGGAAGTCACTTGTACCCGTTCTCTTTGTGAGTCCCCACATGGATTCTGGAAGCCAGTCATCTTTGTTCCTATTGGACAGACATAAGCAATGAGGCTAAGGGTAGCTTAGTGGACACTGTGCTGGTGCTCAGTAGTATACACCTCACACTTATCCCCTGCTGCCGTTCGTTGTACCAACTTCCGTGCCCTTGAATGTCTCTGCTCAAATTGTTCTATTAGAAAGCGTGCCAATGGCAGCCACTCCCAGTAGGTCCTACTGGGTCTTCAAGGCCAACCAGAGCATCGTGGTACCCTCAAAGTCTGCCTTGTGCAGGAGTGAGTCCCACTTGGCTATCTCTACGCAAGGCTGTAGAAGACGACACTGTCCTGGGTCTGCCTACAGCAGGGGCTCAGCACAGGCTCACTGGGTACGCTGCCAGGGTAGAAGTGCTCCTTGGTCCTAGTCCCCTTCCTTCCCACTGGGGGCTCAGAGAAGAACACACTCTGAGCTCCATCCGCATCATGCATGGGCCCCTGGCAGCTGCAGTGATCAAGGAGTCTCTTTGGCAATGCGAGCCATCGGCTACTGAGCGTCTGACTCACCAGTCACTAAATGTGCAGAAGCTTTGGGGAAGGGTCAAGGCTGGAGATAAAGACCCTGAGAAGGGTTTGCTGGCCCAAGTGCTGCTTCACTGTCCGTGCCTCTGCAGACATCTTAGTGGTTCAGGATTTGCGGACTACCCTAGATGTTTATCGCAGGCTCATCGAGGTTCAGGGCTGCAGCAGTGAGCCAGTGGAGTTTTCTTCTCATCCAGGGAGAGGTGCACCCCACAGCCAGGGCTTCCCCCAAAAGTACATCTGGCTATGCAGAATGCTAGTGGTTGCAATTTTCTCTGAGGCCATCCGCCCTCTTAAATGACATACCTTTAATCAATATATATATATATGTTACTTCTATACTCAGAGGAGGAACTAAAAGAAAAAATTTTTATGTCTTTCAACTCATGGCTGCATGATTTGGGAATCTTTTAAAGACTGTGCACCCTCATCTGACTATGGGGTATATAGGGACTCTCATCTGATAGGGATCTTTTGAAAATCAAATATGAAGTGAGCCATGTGACCTCCAGGCAGTCTTTTCTTGCTATGGTCATGATCGCTGGTACCCATAATTCCTCATTCTTACCTGGCAGGGTCACCTGTGTTGCTGTCACCAGGAGGCAATCAGCAGAAGAGAGGTGACAAAGGGTTAGGGAGGAGCCAGTGACACAGACAGAGAGACTTGCAGTCACAGGCAGAAATGAGGCCAGACGCAGGCCACAGTCCCAGGAGAAGTCTCCGCTGGGATGGAGTCCAGCAGGTTGGGGAGGAGCTGATGGCTTTTTTACCTGCAAGGTCATGGAGCTTGCCAGCAGGTGCCGAGGCTCAGAACTACCTTCCAGCGGGTCAGAGCTCCCTGGTTCCTCTGCGGCTGTTGGAGAGGGCATTGCTGGTGAGGGCTCAGGAGTGGCAAGGAGGTCCTCCTGCTTCTTGCATTCCTTTAGTTTTACAACCAAGTCGCAGCAGGTGTAATCTAGGAAGGCAGATTTACAGCCCATTTAGAGGGCACCCAGCGGCTCTCCCACCCAGCTCCCAGACACAAGAAGAAGACACACAAGACAGTTTGGAAAACAGAGATGCCAGTGAGTTATTAATGGACCTTGTTAAGCTCATGGGATCCGTCTCATCTCAGACCTTCACGGCTGCCCTTGTCACAGTGGCAGTCAGCCCAAGTCCACGACTGGCTAGTTAGGCCAGGGAGGTGTTTCTTAGATTGCAGTGTTCAGAATGCCTTTGCTCAGGATGAGAGGAGACTATTTTAGTCTGGATTTCATGTTAAGCGTGTAATTATTACAGTTCACTTGTTTCAAGACAGCATATTAATCTGTCTTGTATTTGCCACGCTAATGATATAATGACCAGGGGATGGTGCTCAATTATGCAGCCCTCCCCTTAATTTGCTAGAGTCGACCACTGGCTTCACATAAGTAATCAGGGGTTTCTCTCTCAAAGTTGGTGGGGCCCTTTCCTGGGGCCATTTTAGTTTCTTCTTGTGGAAAGAGTCAGAATATGAGTTGACCCCTTAGCAGCCCAGGCGAGGCCATTTCTAGGGTGAGTAGAATAGAATTAATAGCTGCCCCAGGTTACTTCCTAACTAAGCCTTGATGGCAAATGCAAAGATAGGTCCTTCTATCACCTTAGTCCGCCCTCCCCCTCTGAACTCCTGAACTCTCCACCGCACCTTCTCCGCCCCAGCCTCACCTAACTCCCTCTCCACCGCACCTTCTCCGCCCCAGCCTCACCTAACTCCCTCTCCACCGCACCTTCTCTGTCCCAGCCTCACCTAACTCCTTCTTTGTCCCAACCCAGCATCTTCTTGCCCCAAATGGCCTCTGATCTCCACTAAGTGCCTTTGGTTCTGCTGCCTCATGAATCCCCATCTCCAGGCTGAGTGCTGACTATCAGGGCCCTTTCTTCCCTTCTTAAGACAGGATGCAATCCTGCTGCCTACATTCTGCTGCCTAATCATAAGGTGGGGTTTGGGATCATGTCTTAACCGCACTGTACCATCTAATACTTAATTTACATGTATTCACAGCACCAGGGATAGGGCCAGGAAAGGGGTGGTTCTTCTGGGAGAGGCAAGGCGGCTAGGAGGAGGCTTTCCTGGACACCAGAGACATTTCATCCACACCCCTCCTATCATTGCTTATAGATGTATTCTCTCTGGCTGGATCCTTCTCTACTCAGCTTCCCTACCCCTTCCTGCCCCCAGATGACCCAGGCTCCCTTGACTCTCACTCCACCCATGTCACGTGATTCTCTGCCAATATCACATTGCTTAGTTCAGGTTGTCCTCCCAGCCTTCAAGCACTTTCTCTTGTTCCTTCTAGAGGATTCCCTCACTGTCCCACTTTTTCCTTAAGCCTAATCAGTAGCCCAGATGACCTCAAGTCTAGTGACTAGCCAGCACTCTCTCTCCCAAAATGAGTCCCCTTCTCTAGCGCACTGTTCCTGTGTCTCCCTGTGAACACCTCTTCCCCAGCTCAAAGAGAAGCCAGGGTCTTTGCATCGTTTTCCTTCTTCATCCTCATGTGAAAAATGGTGACTCTGGGGCTGGTCTGGGCATGCTGTCTCCTCAAAGCTCATGACATCTGTTCCCAGATCCAGAACGTCTCCACTCCTGTGGCCTCTCCTACCTTAGAAAACTTCCTTTCTCTTTCCTGCTTGCTTCTCAGTCCCAGCCTGGCCCCTCTCTTATCTGTCCACATGCAGCTCATGGGACAGTCACCTGGAATATAAATCCCACTGAGATTCTTTTCTTTCAAAGTCTTGGCCTTGCCTGCAGTCCAGAATCTTGCAGTGGGTATAGAGGCTGCCTCTTCCAACTTAAACCTCAGGGTCCTTGAAGAATCAGACGTCCCTGGTTCTGGTGTTGGCCTCCTGGGCCACTCGCGATTCTCCAAAGCAGCCCAGGCCTCCCTGGAGCTCTGGTTATGTGCACTTTCCCCTCCACCCCTCTGTGTGTCTTTTCCTGCAGTCTCATCTTAAGACTCTAATGACATTAGAGGGCACCTCTGCCCTGACGATCTCTGAGTGTGGGCATTCTCAGGTTCCACAGTATGCAACATACACGGTGCCTTCTGCACTGCGGAGAGCATTGATCTCAGCACCCAGCACATGACAGGTGTTTAATAATTGCTTCTGCAACCGATTGATGGTTCCAAACATAAGAATCAACTCCCAGTAACATTACTTTGGCCAATAACCATAATCACTTTAACTTTTATCACTCCAAACCATATGATTTCATATGTGTCCTTCTGTCTTGTTCCAAGTTCTTTAAAAAGAATCTTCAGAGCAATCGGAAGTCCAGATTCTCTCCTGATGGTACTAGGGACCAGAGTCCATTCTCTGTCATGTCCTTCTGTCTTTTCACATAGAACTGTTCACTACAGCACTTAGGAGTGGTCAGTAGTTTAACCTACAGGGATAGAATTCCTGTGTCCAACTTGATTATTTCCTCTGTGGGAAATGGAGATGGGCTGCTTGCCTGTGTACACTGTGGGACCCAAGGAGGTCATGTTAAGTGGTAGTTATGTGTCGGGGACTGTACCCCTTAGTTATTATCCATGTCAGACAGTTACTGGGGGTCTGGGCGGCTGGGGGGGGGCATGCTACATTCATGGCAGCTGCTCCAGCTCCCCAGATCTTCCAAAGCTCAGTCACAGAGTCTGCTGTGTTCCTGGCAGTCTTCTGAGCCTAAGCTGGCACTGGCACTGGCACTGGGTCTTATGCACTATGTCTACTGTTAGTCCTGCTCCTTCTCCCTGTGCCCACCAACACTACTATAATGCCAGCTGTGTGAACCATCCCAGAAAGGCACTGAGCTATTTTCTTTATGTGCACCAAGAAAGCCAGGGTACCATTACTTCTTACCTTTGGGGAACTCTTTCTCTATCTGAGCAGTATCATCTTCCTGAGGAGAGGCACATGTGACTTGTAAAGGGCAAAGAAACACAGACAAAGGGACTCTGGTTGTCAGGAAGTACGGGTGTTGTCTCTCTTGGGACTCAGAAAAGATGCTAGACTGCCCATCATTGCTTGGTGAACTGTCTCCATCAAAAGGGAAGTGTTTAATGGGCTTCTGTCCCACTGGGGAAGGAGGAAGAGTTCCTTGTGCTTCTTCTTGTTGCTCCTTGCTGTTTCCAGAAAATTCTTTTGTTTCTATTCAAAATAAAATGAGAGTTGACCCAAAACATCTGATGATGCTGCCTCTCAGGTGCCTAATGGCTACCCCATTGCTCTTCTGGCTAGTGGGCTACAGCAGGGCTTCAGGGAACAGTGAATAGTTAGTATAGCTACGTGGTTGGTATTAGCAAACTTTCAACGTGTGGTCAGCATCCTTAACTCTGAACTGTAGTTTAGGAGCTCTATTTGTATACAGTGTTACCATGAATTTGACTTCATTTGCATATACTGTTACTATGTATTAGTGACAAAGGGACTGTGCCTAGTGCTGCCCTTGGGAAGTCCTATTATCCTTCCTATCATTCTCAGCAGAGCAAGGGATGGGGCATCTTAAATTTGGGCTTGACCCATGGTACCTGAGTTCAAATCCCAGCTCTACCACTTAAACTCACCGCCTCTTCTATAAAATCTGGGTGAGATGATAATAGAATGAGTGACTACTAGATAATATACATTTACTCTATCATTGGGTCTTACATATCAGATATAGAATTAGAATATATACTATAAAATCCAAGTATTTAATTATATCTACTATACCCAATAACATTATTTATGTAAATATCAAATATTAAAACAGGTAACAAGAAAATAGTCATGCATAGAGCACCTGATACACACTAGGCATAGCTTTATTCCTCTTATTACAGATACTGATGTCAATCTATGTGTTACAGAGAGTGCAGATGCGGCAAGCAGGGCACCATGCCTTTGTCAAGCTCTGAGGAAGAGATGGATCTATAGATCTGTTGCCCATGCTGTTCCTACAGTGTGACATCCAATTCTCCAAACACCCTTGTCCACCAACCAGGGACCAGGGAAAGAAGTTTTATGCATCTGTGATTTGCAGCAGCTTAAAGAGACAGGTGTTGCTGAGTAAATGGGCACTCGCCTTGAAACTACATTGTTAAGCAGATAAAGAAAAATGAGGCTTCCTCATAGCAAATGCTTCTTTGCATGGGATACCTCTGGAGAGATACAATGACCAGGAAAAACCACAATGAAGGCCAAGAGTGGGAATGGAGAAAACACTTTCTCTCTGATGTCTATTTAATAGGCTTAGATATAAAATATAAACTTTCTAAATGTTCAGTAAGTTTTTTTAAAAAGATGCCTGCTTTAAATAGAACCGTGACTCTTCTTGAGTTACCATCACCCCACACAGATGTACCAACAGGGAACAGCTCCACTGGAGGTGGGAGTAACTGCGGTAAATGAAACAGGTCCTTAGATGATTATGTGGTAGGGCAGGGGACAATAGTGGCTGTCCCCTGAGTAATGAAAGTTAGGAGAGTCACAACTCTGCTTTCTCAAGTGTGTCCTATATAAGAAAGAATGGGCCCATGGCAGTGCTCTGAGGATGTCACTGGTGACCTGCCAACAACGTCCCGGTTTCTACAGCATGCTTTCCCCTGTGTATCTGAGAACTGCTGATAGTAGGTAAAGCTGGGTCATAGAGCTCATTGTGAAAAGCAGCAACATTAGGGCATAGGGTCCCTCAAAATCACCTTTATGAATTTGGGGTCCAGCCCAGAGAAGTCGAGTTGGCTGTTTTCGATTCCTGTTCACTATGAGGGTGAACCTGTGTTCTGTGCAAAACACAGAAATTGTTCCTACTGATCTCAGGGCGAAGTGTTGAATGTGTGGCAGCTGCTAGACCTTGTTTCTGGAGTGCAGACATCCCCGCATACAACAAAGCTGCATTTTGCTAAATGGTATGGAAACATGTTTATAAACCTTTCCTCCAAAAAGCACCAATTATGTTTAATTATAAAATACCGTAGGCAGAAAATAGCCTATAACAGTCAGCCTTCCTACATGGCTTCCTTTCATTAGAGACTCTGAGAAAAATACACAAAAACAAACTAATTATCAGGGATACAGTCTCTGCCTGCCTGCTGACAAAGACCATCCACATCTGAATCAATGCATTTACTTACAGACTTATGGAGTGTAATGGGTCAATATTCCCATCCATCTAGCATCTGCCTTTCCCAGTCCCTCTCTTTTCCATTTTGTCTGTCTGTCTGTCTGTCTAGATGGTCTAATGTAATTAGTGTGAGTTAAATGTTTCATTTGTGACTTGAAAGGGTTAAAACAACTCCAGAGAGCAGAATACAACTTCTATTTTGGGTAACTTCTTAACCATGTATCTTTTGTGATTTCTGTGGGTACCCTGCTGATAGTGTCTATTTTGTGAATTCTGAAACATGACCTTGAAAGTAGGGAGAAGGGCCCCGAAGTATTTATGTGTTGGGGCAGGGAAAAAAAAAAGACTGGGTACCACTGGAACAAAGAAAGTTAGGTGATTCACATTCTGTTTCCTCAAATATCTACTGTGCAAGAAAGACTGAAGCCACAGCACAGGCCTACACAGGCAGGCAGTACATATAGTCTTTTGTACCATACTCTGGGGAGGTTGGAGTTTCAGGTTCTTCAATCACACCCGATATTCATTTTCTTGTAGTTTTGACTAAAGACCTATGGAAACAAGGGTTTATTCTGTTTGTTTTATGGTTTGAGGGGCATCACAGTGGGGAAGCATCATGCTGGGGCTCAGTTGGTGTTAGACCATAGGAGTTTGGGAAGCAACTTCTTCCTACTTCCCCTGACTAGGAGTAGCGAGAACTTCAGCCCAAAACCAAGCAACATTTAGATCTTGTGCCCAACCTCTATGACCCTGTATATGTCAGCGAATCCTTATGTCCTAAAGCTTTTGCAGTCTTCCCCCAATAGCGCCCCCACCTGGGGACCAGCTGCTCTAACCGAGAAGCCTGTCAGGGACATTTTGGCCATGACTCTCTCGAGTTGGTACCTCACTACTGCAAGCTCTACTGTTGTAAGGGAACCTGAGAAGGCAGCATCTATGCCAGGTCTTGTGATTTTTGTATTCTTCCTGAGTCTATATATGGAAAGGCTTTGGAAGTACACATTTCCTTCAAACAGAGCACCACCAGAATCCTTTCACGGTCTTGCTTGGTACGCTGGGGCTCCATTCTCCAGGCAACCTGCCTGCCCTCAATTCTGTTGAGCTGGGTACGGGAAAGCACACAGACACAAACAGAAGATTTTGCCCAGCAGTAACAAATCTGCTTCTATTGATGTTATATCCTTGTCTGGGAAGGGTACTGGACTGTCATGCAGGATCCACTTATACCTTTATCAATCTCACTGTACCCAAATTCTGCACACCACACACAAAGCCACTGTCATTTCACTGTGTCTGTTATGCAAAAGCTTCCAGGAGGGAGTTCAGCGGAGTGGCTTGGCCAGAAGCTCTAGGCAAGTTAGCAGCAACTCATGTCCTAAGCACACAGGGCTAACCAGGCAGGGTTGCTGTGTGGCCGGCCAGGCCTGCCAGCTAGTGGCTATGCAGTTGGTAGTGTATGCTGCTCCATAATTCTGGCTCCTGACCCACCCATGTTTAGCAGCAGACCTTAAGATATAACAGGGAACTCTGAAGCAAACCAGGGCCCTCAATAGGAGGAGCCTAGTGGAAATAGGATAGGAAGGACCTCAGCAATAGAGCATCCAGATCTGCTGAGAAGGGACTTATGTGGCCAGGCTTGGGCACTACCGACTTACACAGGTTCTCAGTACAGCAGGAGAACAGGGAGGGCATTTCTCTGGATATTTTACATCCAGGGGCCATAACATACCACCATGCACATTGACTTGATAAAGAAAGCCACTCTTACATGCTTTCCAGTATTCAGGAGATCATAGATCTTGGAGCTGTAATGACTGAGGTGCTCTGGATCACAGCAGACAGGGACAAAGTGCCTAACCGCAACCACTTACAAAGACCCACACAACACTAGGTCTCTGCCAACCAGGTGTCCAAGGCAGAAAGTGATATCCAGGAGAAGTGGACTCAAGAGCCCACAAGGGACAGTTGCAGGAATAGCCCACAGTGCAAGTCAGGTCTCACATGCAGAACTCATGTGTTTTGGTCTTTGATACATGCACTAGATTAAATCTTGTTAGGAGGTTGAGAGACTGGAGATGAACTTTCAGCTCTCTAGAACACTCATCCTGGGAGACATCATATTTGGGACTCAGAGCACATCTTCCCACCTCCTTAAAACAGACTATATAGGTTCTTAACCTACCAGAGGGACTCCAGGGAGGGAAGCAGGCCCTTTTAAGTCTAACCCATGAGTTTTCTTCATATTTGCATCCAGTGGTCATGAACTCCCCCAAAATCCAGGTCATTGTCCAACTGCCTCCATCTTAGACATACAGCAGCTGAAGCTTGCGATGATGTCTCTGGACCATCAGCGTAAACATCAGTTTCAAAATTCAACTGCAAGGGATGTGTCATCTCAGGGCATCCTGAAGGTCCTAACACTCTGCTGTTACTCTAAGTGGTCCCTGACTACCCTTGACCTCCTATTCCCTGTTGCCATTACACCTCTGTGTGTGTATTAGCTGGAGTGGTCTGAATCAGTGAACCCCATAACCACAGCATCTAACTGGGAACCAGGTAAGTGAACCTGGGAAGAGTGGGTGCTCAGCCAGATAGACGGCCATTAGAAATACAGACGCAGGTCCTGCAGGGAGGACTCAAGCTTGCTCATGGGACTTTGCAGTCTCCTCTCTTGGCACTGGGATATGAGAAGAGACTGATGCAGAGTAACAGGAGGGGCAGGCTTTTGCACAAGGCATGCTAACACCTCCAAGGAGGAAGGAAGGAAAGATGGATGGTGGTTTACTAAATGTCCAACTTCCCCAGCAGGTAGATTTGCTTTATTCTTTCCCTTTATGCTGTCCATTACAATGCAAGGAGGTTGAAGCAAAAGAAAGTAGAACTAGTCTGTGGCTGCCAAGAAACAAGGGCGAAATAAAACATGGAATGAGCTCTTTCCATGAGGATGGCTGGTGGGGATTCCCTCTTCTTTCTTCCGCCCCAGGCTCCAGCCTTTGGCTGTAGGTTGAAGGGTCTCCCTGTGGCAGTGCTGCAGGCTTCTGTTTAC